AATTGAATTTTCAGCCGCAGTAAAGAATCAACGTTGGCGGATTTTGGTTCTTGACATCCTTCACGATCGGTTACGATGCCTAGAGTACGGAGACCTGTACGATTTCGTCAACTTAGTGAGTTTGATAGGGGCCGTATAGTGGGACTTCGGGAAGCTGGACTTTCTTTTCGGGCAATTGCAGTTAGAGTGCAAAGAGGTGTAGACACTGTAGTTAGGTGTTGTCAGGCATGGCTTCGAGAAGGCCGTACGCAAAGAGCAAGGGGCACTGGACGCCGCCGTAGAACAACAGACCGTGAAGATCGCCGCCTAAGATTATTGGCCTTGAGGGACCGTTTCTCCACTACCAGGTCCATTGCAAATGAATGGTTTGCAGAACACGGAAGACCTATTGGCATGCGAAGTGTTTACCGACGAATGAGAAGTTTTGGCTTGTTTTCATACCGGCCACACTGGGTCCTCCCTTTAACTTCGAGAACACCGACGTAATCGCCCTGAGTGGTGCAGACAACGGTCACTCTGGGATCAGGAATGGAACAGTGTTGTCTTTAGCGACGAGTCTCGATCTTGTTTAGGCATGCACGATGGTCGTGCCAGGGTTAGAAGGCGACGTGGTGAAAGGAGGAATCCACAGTTTTTTGTTAAAAGACATGTTCATCACACTGTTGGAGTTATCGTTTGGGGTGCTATAGCTTATGGTTCCAGGTCACCTTTAATCTTCATCAGAGGTAACATGAACGCGCAGCGTTATATCCACGAAGTTCTAGAACCCCATCTATTACCCTATCTGGCAGATCCAACTTTCCAACAAGATAATGCCCGACCACATGTTGCAAGAGTCACAATAGACTTCTTTCAACATAATGATGTCACATTGTTACCATGGCCACCAAGATCTCCCGACTTATCCCCAATTGAGCACGTGTGGGTTATAATGGGTAGGAGATTGCTCAATTTGCAACGTCCTCCTCAGACTCTAGAAGCACTTCGAGAGGAGTTGGTGGTTGCCTGGAATGAGATACCACAGGAGGACATTGACCACCTGATCAGAAGCATGCCTAGGCGCGTTGGAGAATGCGTAGCACATCAGGGTGCATCCACACATTATTAAAAGTCAAAGGGCTTCAAAGCAGTGCAATCATATTGAAATTTTTATCATTTACTTATTATGCTTCATTAAGTAATTTTATTAAAATAAAACCATTTAAACTGGGTGTTCGGATTTATATGTCACTTAGTATAATTTGATTTGGAACTTTTTTCGTTATTTTACGGTTCTGATTAAAATCACTTATTAGATACGCTGAAGATCAGTATCATTCACTGAAAATTCAGCTGTGATAGATTAACGGATACGTGGAAAGAAGTGTCAGGTATTATTTGAAACAGATAATACCAAAAACGTGTATAATATCAGAAGGTACGTGTTTAAAGTATGGATGTGGTATACCTTCGTTATACCATTCGTATTCATCTCTGCAAACTTTATTTGAACTTTTTCTATAGTTAAACCTCCGAAGTTTATTGTTATCCTTGCTTTGTGACATTTGGGACGGTCTCCATTTTCTACATTCTTCTTTCTCAAATCAACTTCTAGACAGGAACTGAAATGCCAGGGGCTGCTATTTGTAGATCAAAGAAACGTTTTCGATCTGATTAATGTTAGCAGAACTGGGAAAAGCTTCATCAGGTAGATTATTTCCCAATATCGATACCCTAGCGGCAAATGAGTGGTCGAATCGGCCAGCTGTGGGTGTACGAAATTCAACAAGGTTAGGGTGGGAGGCCAAGCTCAAGCAGGTCTGTTTGGCAGGCACATCGCGCGACGGCATCATGGAGGAGAGCGCTGATGAGCAGAGCCAGTAAAACGATCCTAGAGAACAATAATCGATCAGTTGGACAGCACTCTGCTGAATAGGAATCCAGCATGGACGATGTAGTTGGGGCGGCAGCACCCCAAACATGTGAGCAGTACTCGAGGCTAGATGTCACGTGGAGAAAAGTACTTCTTAGCCCCAAGCGAACGGCCTAGTTTTTTAACAGTAGCCGCCGCTATTCATTAGATGTTCGTGCCAGATTAAGTCCTTGGTGATCTGGACTCCGACCAGCTGAACTGATCGGCTCTTAGGCAGATCTTGGCTATCCATCGAAACCAAATGAGCGCTAGGATGCTTCTTGTTAGTTAAGGCACAGTACTATGTTCTGGAAGCATTAAACTTTGCACGATCGTTGCGTCCTGAAGCGGAAAGGAGGTCGTTGATATCTAAGAGGAACAATGTTGAGGTCAAGACTGATCCTTGGGGAACACACGCATTGACATTTTTGTGTGATATCTTGCGGTCAGTAAGGAAGGCCACCTATCTGAGAGGCCACATGATGGAAGTTTGAGAATTCTTTTACATCTACTCTTCATATTTTTTTCAAACACCATAGCTGAAATTTCAACAGTATTACCTGACACGAAAATTGAAAAAGATGACTGTAGCAAGAAATGTGACATAACATCACCCATATCCACTTATGACTTCAGTTCATAAAAAACATAAGGGTAGTAGACATAGTGTGGCAAGTAGTACTCGTCCTGATATCAGCAGAGACAGAGAGAGTGACCTAGTTGTCTGGGCGCGCGTCGCGTCGCCTTGCCTTCCGCAGGTACCACCTCGCCGCGGATGTGTGCCACCGCGGTACCATCGACGCCGTCTTCCGCTTCTTCGGCCCGTGGTTTCCTCGGGCAGCCAACGCCGTCGTCGACGTCGATTTGCTCTTCAGTAGCCGTTCTTCTTCTTCCTTCTCTCGGTACCGATCGCAACCGGACTGCCCACCGGCCGGCGTCCTAGGTACTACTTCCCGTACGCGGTATTGTGCGTGTGCGTGAGTGGCTACGGACCTTGAGGTACTACTCTTCCGGGAGTTAGACAGTTATCATGTTTGAACGGGCGGCTTAGGGACCAACGAGAAGTATTCACGGTGAGTCCAGGATTCTTGACGGTTCTGTTGTATACGGGTACTCGATTTTGTTTTAGCATTATTATTTGTTGTATCAACATTAAAATTGTTAGGTCCAGTGGCGTACGGGCGGCACCGAGTACTATTGGCAAAAAATGTACGCCACTGCATTTTTTTGTAGCTTTATCGTTTGCTGTTTGATTAAGCATCTAAAAATAGAACTCCTTTGCCTCTTAAAACCCTTTGCCTCTATTAATGTTTGCTAAAAGTGCCTTGGAAAACAAAAAAAATTTGTATATTATATATTTACTTATTTAGATCCTATACACCGCCTGAACAGATAACTCCAATTAAGAGACAGGAAAAGACAAATTTATACAACAAAAACTGAGACAACAGACAAAAGTTTAGCTCATCCAAGAGTTAAGAAACACCTTCTAAGATTGTTTGTGGCGGAACCGAGGATCTCAAGTTCACTGACATCCTCACACATATCACACATAACATAAAGTGGCGAAAATAACAATAAGTGAGTTCGCGTAAACTTTAACGCGTAGCGAGATCATATTTAACAGAATAGGACAATCAATAGTTCAGCAAATTACTAAAAAAAAAGTAGTACCTAAGAGATGTTTACGTTTGACTAAGCTAGATAGATTGTACCTACTTAGAAGTATGTCATTGCGTATGCACCGTTCAGGATACGCTAAATCATCCTTAAACCCTAGGTTTCTTCACTAAACGTCATCGGCTTCTCTCATGTATATTATAGGCCGGTTACCAAACAATCGAACAGTATTCTGAAATAGATCCGACGAAAGCCTTGAAAAGTAAAATTATTGTATTAGTGTCTACTGTTAATAACAAATACAAGATTTGTATATGCTGTAGTCACTATTGTATTAATGTGGTCAAGAAATGAAAGCTTTGAATCGTGTAAACGTCATAGCAGAATGTATATTCATATTCAAGTGCATGTAATTTTCTTTATACCATTGACCTATGATATTCAAATCAGCCTGTAACTTATCTTCCAAGACGCGCAAGCTATCAAAAATGTTCAAGTTGTCAGCACAAAGCAAGTACTCGCAACGCAAGTATGTCACAATATCATTAATTGAAATCAGAATAACAGTGGACCTAGAACAGAACCCTGAGGCACCCTCTCATGTAGCCAAAACCGCACCAGACTTATAACCATGGAAAGCCATACACGACCATCGTGCATGCCTAAACAAAATCGAGACCCGTCACTAAAGACAATACTGTTCCATTCCTGATCACAGAGTGACCGTTGTCTGCACCACTCAAGTCGATTACGTCGGTGTTCTCGAGTTAAAGGGAGGACCCAGTGTGGCCGGTATGAAAACAAGCCAAAACTTCTCATTCGTCGGTGAACACTTCGCATGCCAATAGATCTTCCGTGTTCTGCAAACCATTCATTTGCAATGGAGCTGGTAGTGGAGAAACGGTCCCTTAAGGCCAATAATCTTCACGGTCTGTTGTTCTACGGCGGCGTCCAGTGCTCCTTGCTCTTTGCGTACGGCCTTCTCGAAGCCATGCCTGACAACACCTAACCGCAGTGTCTACACTTCTTTGCACTCTAACTGCAATTGCCCGAAAAGAAAGTCCAGCTTCCCGAAGTCCCACTATACGGGATATACTATATCCCTATCAAACTCACTAAGTTGACGAAATCGTACAGGTCTCCGTACTCTAGGCATCGTAACCGATCGTAAAGGATGTCAAGAACCAAAATCCGCCAACGTTGATTCTTTACTGCGGCTGAAATATTCATTTTTAGAGCGTTGGTGAATTAAAAAAAAAGCGGTATAAAAGCCGGAATGTCCAACTGATAAGGCTGAAAATTTTTTCACTTGTTATTTACAGTAAGATAAATACATTCACCAACTTTTATTAAAATAAAACCATTTAAACTGGGTGTTCGGATTTATATGTCACTTAGTATAGCTTTTTAACAACGTTTGTTGTATAACTTATCCCAAACGGACCAAATATTTTAAAATCGTTAAATTCATACTCTCTTTAGTTGACTGATTACAGTTCTCTCTTTCAGTACCCCCAAACATAGTGGATCGAGAAACAAGTTCTGACATGGTGGTTCTAGAATCTACAAATGTCAGTATCTCGTGCAAGGCGACAGGCTACCCGGAAGCGTTCATCATGTGGAGAAGAGAAGACGGACAGGACATCAGATACAATGGAGAATTTGGTAAGCATGTGGAGATTAATTTTGGAATGCCTGCCTCAGCGATAATTTTGCTTTTTTGCTTTCAGCGACAGTCAGCCTTCCAAATGTAAACGTAAAGATCATGTTCCGCGCTAAGCACCGTTTTGCTATGTTTCTGAAGAACTAAGAGACCAGTGGCGGCTCGTGGCAAAATAAAACAGGTGTTTTGCAAATCCGAACTTACCTATCTGTTATATGTCAGTTCGATCCTGCGCTCCTTCTTGGCAGGAAATTCACCTTCTCGTTGAAATTATCCATGGTCGAAATAAATTCCTTTTCAATGGACAGCATCGACAACGCTGTAAGGCGATCCTGAGTCATAGTATTTCGAAGAAAGCTCTTGATTCTTTTCAATGTTGAGAAATTTCGCTCAGCTTCTGATGTTAACATAGGAGTTGTAACAATAATTTCTAATAGCTTTTTTGTTTCTTTTAGTGTATGTATTTTGTATCAAAAATTTCCAAAGAGACAGAGTTCCATGTAAATCTCGACAATCATTCCGTGCATAAATAACAGACAACTCTGTCTCTAAACGACTTTTTTTTTAATTCGGATAAGCCAAGCAGGTAGTTTCCAATTTGTCATCAGGAAACGTACCACAGTATTCTCCAAAGTGTTCGGGGAAAAAAGGGGAGCGGCTACCAAATGATCTTTGAATTGAAATCTGTCATTTGCAGAATTCACTATATAGTCGCATACTTCTAATGCGACAACTCGGTGATCGTGACTGCTATTATTACGTCGTCTCCTTTTGTTGCCTTGGGGTTCAGTGAAAATACTTTTGGCTTCATTTATTATGTCATCAATTTTATTTCTCACATCGACAATACGTTTTCACCTTTTTCAAAATTATCGATAGCCGTTTTAACTTGCGCTGGATCGGTTTTTCTCTTCTGCAACTGGATGAACAAGATGTCGACGTGAGGCATGATATGATGAAAAAATGTCAACCAAAACACGAAAATAGAATCGTTTAACATACGTAAGACCCAAAATACCTAAATAAAAAATTGTTAGCATTCAAATTTTAAGCCACGTCACCCACCGACCAATCAGATATCGTACTTCGCATTAGATCTGTACGGATCTGTATAACTTGTTTTTTTTTTTGGTGAGGGGGGAATGCGTTTATGCACCATACCATAGCCCGAGCTACGGCGTGTGTGGGACTCCAGGTTGTCTTGAGGAGACCACCTAATACCCACTAAACCCTAACCTCCGCGTGGCCCGACTCATCAGCGTCTCGGTAGGCCATGTATTGTGCGTGACCTGCGTTCTGCTAGAACGTCTCCTCATGTGTTTCAGTCTCTGGGAAGGCCGGGTAGATTCCCTTTACCTCGCACATTCTATCGATGTCGCTAAGCGATCATCGATAGAGGGTCTGCTAGGTTCTCTTGAAACTCTTGTTTTCGAAAATTCAAGAGTTTCAAGTCCTCTTACCTATATATTGTTCCTGGTCCTGGTCCTGAAGGGTCCTGGTCCTGGTGGGTCCTGGTCGTAGCGGGTCCTGGTCCTGGTTGGTCCTGGTCCTGGTGGGTCCTGGTCCCGGCGAGTCCTGGTCCCGGTGGGTCCTGGTCCCGGTGGTTCCTGGTCCTCTGCATCCACGCCGTGGGGGGGGGAGCAACCGCGGGTTCTCCTAGTCTCCTATTCAGGGTTCCAGTTAGCGGGTGCCAACTGGGACCTTGGTCTAGGGTACCTGGTGCTGCGGTTGCGAGGCCTCTCGTCCGGATCGTAGTCCATGAGGAATCGTAGCTGCTCGTTCGGGTGGTCCTGAGCTTTCTGGAAGGTCTTCTCCGCTTATTTCCTCATGTACTCGTGAATGGTGTCCCAATGCAGGTCTCTACGCAAGGTTGAGTTTATTACGTAGGATGGTGCACTGGTGGCGATCCGGAGTAGCTTCATCTTTAGAGCAGCAAGTCGCTTGCGGTAGCTGGGGACAGCGTACCCCAAGACCGCGGAGGCGTAAGCGAGCTGAGGTCTGGCGATGGCCTTGATCAGCCGTAGCTTGGTCGCTAGCGGCATCCGGCTGTGTCTACCCAGTAATGGGTAGAGTTGAGCCATGGCTGCTCTGGTCTTTGCGATGACAGCTTCTATATGGTCCTTCCAGGTGAGAGACTTGTCAAATACGATCCCCAGATATTTGACTTTGTCGCTCCACTGGATATCTTCGTCGAAGATGGATGCTTCGAGAGGTCTTGCAATCCTTCTTCGTTGGATGAAGATTGCCTGCGTCTTCTGGACGTTGATGCGGATTTTTCATTTCACGCACCAGTCCTGGATGTGGTCCAGTTCACCCTGTAGTCTCCTACGGATGATCTCGGGTCGTCGATGCTTGGCGGCTATAGCAGTGTCGTCTGCATATAGGGCCAGCATTGTGTCAGCTGTCTTCGGTACGTCGTGAGTGTAGATGTTGTAGAGCAGGGGGGCTGAGGCTGACCCCTGGGGCACGCCTGCTTCCAGCTGTCGTCTTGTTGAGTGGCATGTACCAATCTTCACCGTGAACCATCTTTGTGTCAGATAGCTCTGGATCAGTTGGCACATGTTTGCATCGATTCCGGCGGCTTCCATTTTGGCGATGAGTCCATCGTGCCAAACTCGATCGAAGGCTCGTTCCACGTCCAGCAGGACGAGGCCGGTTGCCTCCTGGAGATTGAAGCCGCTGGTGATGTTTTCTGTCAGTCATAGCGCTTGGAGTTCCGTATTGTGGGAGGATCTGAAGCCGAATTGCTCTGGGGGGAGAAGTTCCAGTTCTTCTGCCTGCTTCTCTAGTCGAACGGCGATAGCCTTTTCGACGACTTTGCCCATCGAGGAAACCAGGCTGATGGGCCGGTAGTTCTGTGGCAACTTCCGGTCCTTGCCTGGCTTGGTGAGCATTATAACCTGGGCTTCCCGCCACCGCCGCGGGAAGTGGTTAAGTCTCAGAGTGGCATTGGCGATGTTGGTGAGCGCAGCAATTCCTTTGGAGGGAAGGTTCTTCAACATCCTGTTGTTGATGCCGTCCCTTCCCGGCGCCTTTCTGACCTTCAACCTGCGGATCATCAGACGGATTTCCTCTGGACTGGAGTGGTCATCCGTCTCCCGGCCAGGTGTTCGACTCCTCATGATTTCGGCTGCGACTTCCACGGCCTCCTCGTGGTTGTCGTCCTCGTCTTCATGGTAATTGGGTCTGCATTCGGATTCTAGCGAATCGGCGAATGCTTCGGCTTTTTCTTCACCGGAGTAGGCCAAGCCGCGTTGGCCGTGAAGAGTGGGGATCGTGGTGCGCTGACGACGAAATTTTCTCTGCATAGTCCAGGCCGTACCATCCTGGGTCTCTAGTTCTGCACAGGCTGCATTCCATCTGCTGTTTTGGAGTTCCGCGAGTGCGTTCTTCAGAGCTAGCGATGCTCTGTTTCGCGCAACTCTCGACTCCTCTGTCAACAGCTGGAGATGTTCTCGCTTGAGTCTTCTGTCTCGGAGCGGGTGCTGTCCTCGTGCGCTCGCAGGACAGCATTCTCTAGCTCCTCTACTGCGTTGTCCAGTTCCTCCGCTGATCGGCTGGTTGGAATTTGAGTGATGTTCCTTTGGACGTTGGATTTGTAGAGGTTCCAGTTCGTCCGTTTGGTGCTCAAGCTATCTCGAGTTGTAGACCCTGTGCCAAGTGTTAGTAGGATCGGGTTGTGGTCCGACGATCCTTCCACCAGGGTCTCTATCTCGAACTCCTCTCTGATGTTGAGGAGGATGGCTATGTCCAGACCCCAGGTCGCCCAAGGCCGAATGGAATGTAGGTTGGTTGCTCCGGACCGACGATGACCCCCGCCAGGGCATCGACGTATTCTTGGAGCTGCCTTGAATTCCTGTCTTAGACGTTGGTATAACTTGCAGCACATGGTTATGCTTAAATCGCGCATTTGATTTTGTAGAGAAAGACAAAAGCAAGCGCGCGCGGCTTGTGCCGAAGTAGTGCACAGACCCTTTTCAAGTGGCCCATGAATAATGTTACGCTACGGTCGCGACGAAAATGACAAGTACACAATTGGTCGTTTATAATGCTTTCTCAATACAAAACAAACTCGACGCTGTCTTGCAGGGGCAGCGTTGCCGGTATTGTTTCTATTTATGTGATGACATGGAAAATAAATAATGATCAAATTACTACTGCTTTTTTCTGTTAAGATAAAAGTTTTGGCAGTTCTGCAGAGATTAAGGGCCAGCCTCTTAAAGGACATAGAACATAGAACTCCCAGTAATAATGAATACGTTACAACAATTTTTTGTCATTCTGAATTCCAGGAAACTATTTTGTAATAATTTTCTCCGCTGCACCGTGTTTTTTTTTTGACAGAGCACAATTATTTCTGAAGCCGCTTGTGATGTAAAGGAGGCGAAAAGTGGAGTGAAAGAAAAAATAGACCGACACCGAACGACCCTCAACATTTAATTTTCTCAGTCGTTTTTCTCCGCGTAATGTTCCGTAGATATTTCAGAACGATGCGCAGCTGGCTGGTAATAAAAATTCATAAACAGTCCAATTAGGCTTTTTGTGGATGAAAACGGAGATATTTTTGTTTGCTGTTGTCATTTATTGCCTTTGTTAGATTGGACGGATCAGCATTTGGATTACGTTCTTGCCGATTTTGGGACGGTAACGAAAATAACGATATATCGAACCATGCTTTAGTATCCATAGTTGTATGTCGATATATCGATGCATCGACGTCGAAGTGATAAAAAACGTCAGCGTCCTTTCACTGGACAACAAATTTTAGTTTTTTAATTGCATCTTGTGCGAAAAGTGCACTTCTTTGTTAATTTTGGGGCGCTGAATCCAAAAATGACAATGAAATAAAAAAATTAGTTGCGGTTTAGAAAAAAAAAAATTATTTTTAAGGATATATTAAAAAAAGTAACAAGATTCATATACTTATAAGAATCACTATATGCGCTGTCTTTTTGCTGTTCTTTTATGGATCGTTTCTGGAGCATCTCTACCAAGAGTCCAA